GAGTGTCTGAACTTGATAATGTCAATGATGAAGAGAATATCGCCATTGATGTTTCAATGCCTCCTGTTGATGATGTTACATCTTTTAATGTTGTTGTAGGCACTGGAGTGTCTGAACTTGATAATGTCAATGATGAAGAGAATATCGCCATTGATGTTTCAATGCCTCCTGTTGATGATGTTACATCTTTTAATGTTGTTGTAGGCACTGGAGTGTCTGAACTTGATAATGTCAATGATGAAGAGAATATCGCCATTGATGTTTCAATGCCTCCTGTTGATGATGTTACATCCTTTAATGTTGTTGCAGCCACTGGAGTGTCTGAACTTGATAATATCAATATTGAAGTTGATATCGACGTTGATGTTTTAATGGCTGCTATTGATGATGTTACATCTGTTAATGAAGTTGTAGGCACTGGAGTGTTTGAAGCTGATAATATTGATAATGAACTTGGTGTCGATGTCGATGTTTCGATTGCTGTGGTAAGTGAAGTTGCGTCGTTTTCCTTAGCTGTTGTTGTCGGTGCTGGTGCAAGTAACGATGATATAGTGGATTTTGAAGCTGATGTTTCAATGGCTTGTGTAGATGATGTTACATCTTTTGTTGTTGGCACTGGAGTGTTTGAAGTTGATGATATCGATATTGAAGATGATATCGACGTTGATGTTTCAATGGCTGCTTTTGATGATGCTACATCTTTTGGTGTTGTTGTTGAAGGCATAGGAGTGACAGTTGATATTGTCAATGATGAAGTTGATATCGACGTTAATGTTTCAATGGCTGCTGTAGATGATGCTACATCTTTTGATGTTGAGGTTGGCACTGGAGTGGCTGAAGTGGATGATATCGATGTTAAAGTTGATATCGACGTTGATGTTTCAATTGCTGCTTTTGATGATGCTACATCTTTTAATGATGTTGTTGGCACTGGAGTGGCTGAAGTTGATGATATCGATGTTAAAGATGATATCGACGTTGCTATTTTAATGGCTGCTGTTGATGATGTCATATCTTTAAATGTTGTTGTAGGCACTGCAGTGTCTGAAGTTGATAATATCGATGTTGAAGATGATGTCGACATTAATATTTGGATCGCTGTGGTTTGTAAAGTTGCATCTGTTACCGTTGGTGTTAATGTCGGTTGTGTTGAAGCCGCTGTTGCTACGGATGTTGATATTTCGATAGCTGCTGTTGTTGTTTTCATCACTTGAAATGTGGAAATGTTCGAATTTAGTAAGACAGTTTCTGATGTCATCACTGGAGAGGCTGTTGGTGTTGTAGTGGTCGYTATCATTGTTGTGTTTGTTTGCACTTCCGTTTTAACTAGAGACAAAAATTAAAGAATGATTGTCTAAAATCTAGACGCATAGCAGCGTGGGGTTCTTGCTGATGAAAATCTAGTAGTGAATCCGCAATGTTAATATTCAGCGTAAATTGCTTTATCGATAAAGTTTGTATACTTTCGTAGTTTCTTTTTTTAGGCTTGCTAACACTGGCGAATTTTGCAGTGCATCAAATACGGCTAGAATAAAAGCCTAGTTTGCATAGCAAGCTATAAACACAGAGTCTTTTTTATGTGGCCATACCACGAATGGTGTGTGGATTTGTAAGTGATTTGAACATATTTGAAGTTGAAACCATTTCATTATATCCCGCTTTATCACATTCGCCACCATAAAGATGGCACATGAAAGTTGTGATTGTCATGTGATAGATTTAACATTCGTACCCAGTGCATTCTAGTTAGGCCGAGGACAATTTGTAACCGAAAAGACGACGAAAAAGAATGCCGAAACTTAAACTCGGGATTCCTTTGGAACCCCGAGTGAAAATTCAAATCTAGTTTTGAAAATTGTCATCAATTTTTAAATATATGTGACTCCGCGAGTCCTTGCCGGTAATTTAAGTAGGGCTTCTTTATCCTAACAAAACATAAATCCTTCACGGGCTCAAGTTTTGTTAGGAACAAGCATTTTTTATTTCGGATGAGAACTCAGTAGAACAATAGTCGATGTTTTTGTTGGAATAGGGCAAAGGAAATGCAAAAAGCGATTGATATCTGGATTTTTGTAAGAAATTTGATTAAGAGGGTCTTCAAATAGTATTTTTTTTGAGATCAGGAAAGCGCGC